ACTGGGTGTTACGCACAAACAATGAATCATGGAACACTACATCTAAAACTAATGATGTAATGTTTGGGGATTAACATAAGAATAAAAAAAAAAAAGAAAATACAAGATGCCATGCATAATATTTAACCAATGGTGATTAATTTGTTGTGAGTTATAGACCTTTTTAAATAAATGAGAAATTTGTGTGCCCTCTCCTCAGAAAAATACAACTTCACAAAGAAATTATTACATACAATTTCAGTAGCTTCATGGACCTTCTGAGGCAAAATCATGGACTCATTAAGGAAAATATGTAGCAATTTTCAAATACATTTGAGCCAACTAATCTGTCCACAGATAAAAGCTTACTGGGAAAAAAAAAAACAAAAAAAATAAAAGAATAAAAAACAGAGCTACCATCGTTGAAGCAAAAGTGGTGCCCAGCAACCCACCTGTTGCCTTCAGTCTTCCATTTACCTACCCCCACACCACATCCCTCCACAGAGAATAGTTTGTAAATCACTGTTTTAAAATGACATGTTAAATCAAATACCTAGATGGGCACCTGAGTGGCTCAGTTGGTTAAGCGTCTGCCTTCAGCTCAGGTCATGATCCCAGGGTCCTGGGATCAAGCCCTAAATCAGGCTCCCTAAAGCGGGAGTCTACTTCTCCCTTTGCCCCTTTCCCCACTCCCGTACTCGTGCGCGTGTGCTCTCTCACAAAAATAGATAACTAAATCTTTGAAAAAAAAATTAAATACCTAGAAAAGAGATAAATAAACATAATGGGGCTGGATCCAGAGAAGTTCTGACACAAACTAAGAGCAAGTATAGAATAAGGAGAGACTGGATTCATTGTAGTAAAGGTAAAAGAAAATACTGTGTGAATTACTGTGGACAGAGGCTCAACGCGAGACAGTAAATTATCTGCTGCTTTCAAAGAAGTTGGGTGGCCACTCCAATTAATTTTATGTGTCAACTTGACTGAACCATGGAGTGCCCAGATATTTGGTCTCACATTTTTCTGGATGTTTCTGTGAGGGTGGTTTTGGAGATTAACATTTAGATTGTAGACTAATAAAGCAGTTTAACTCATCCAATCAGTTATTTAAATAAAACCTTAAAAAGCCCAGCCCTCCCAGAGTAAGAGAATTCTGCTTGATGATCTTCAAATCGGGACCACAGCTATCCGGGTTTTATGGCAGCTTCTAGCCTTTGGATGGGAACCGGGGCTGGGCTTTATAGATTTTGGACTTGCCAGCCAATTTCTTATAATAAATCTCCTTGTATATATTACATACTATATCCATGCATCTATAAAATAAGGAGCCCCGGAGAACCCTAATACAACCGTATATCCCACTGTCCAGGACAGAGCAGGTTTATGCCTGTGATCCAACTGTAAATATTAATAGCTCCCCTTTTCCCTCACAGAGGCATCCAATGTTTTTGTTTTTGTTTTGTATCATTTTTGCTTTCACAAAGCAGAGGCAAGTCATGTTTGTCTGAAATGTGTTATGAAAGGGGACCAGTGGTGGCCCCAGTTGAGTGAGTCGTCTGTTTGTTGAGGGCTGCCCTGAGCAAGGCAAGCCCACTGGGGACTAGGGACAAAAGCCCCAGTGGGTGTGAAAGTGAGCAGTCTCACAATTTGTCAATAACAAATGCGTGGGGACACACGATAGGGTTGACTGGCTGAGAGGAGGTGGTTGTTCACCCAGCCCAGGCTACTCTTTCCAGAGCCAGTGGAGGCTGGTGGTCGCTGGTCCCACTGTGTCCTGATTTAATGCCCCTCCCAGCTTTGCCCTGCCCCTTGGAGCAAGTTGAGGATAAACTACCTGCTCATCCACAGAAAGTCCTGGCTCTCGTCAGGTTTGTTCCAGTGGGCACAGCAGTATCAAAATGTCCTTGTTCCTCCCACGGTCAGTCTGTCATGTCTTAAGCAGCCCAGCAGCACTGTCAACGCAGGAGCAGAGCCACAAGTATGACAGAACATGCTACTTAAATAATCAAAAAAAAGAAAAAGTATTAGGTCGAGACAACAGTTCTTGTTAAATTCACAAATTTCTCAAAATTATTTCTTTCTCAAAGTTAGGTTAGCACCATGGTTTAATGGAAATGCTTCACCTTAGACAGAAGGAAAAGCTAACTTTGTTTCACATTCACCTTTTCCTCCACACAAGTGAATCGAAAGTTCTAAAACCTTAAAATATATTACCATTTAAATTCCATCCTATAGGATTATATCTTCACACTTTGGTTCTTTTTCCAATTAATGGTCCATTTGTGGAATGCATATGTAGTTATTTCAGTTCTATATGGCTCATTAGAGAGCCTTCTCAGTGATGGGTTTCATTCCCCTTAGTCTGATATGAATGTATTCATTAAGGACATACCATAAAATAACTAATAAAGTAAATTTTGAAAATTTAAAAAGAAGTAATATAGCACAACTCACCTTCCTTAAAAAATAATTTAATCTGCTGTGGCTGTTTTAAAGATCTGAATTCAGGAGAAAATTCTTTACAAGGGGTTTTTATTGTAACTTGAAACCTGACTCCTCATTTAGATGTGCATATTAACGTCTAATGCATATCAGAGTAACTCCTGTGGGAAGAATAAATGTGTTAGACTCTGCAAGTATAAAGAAGTAAGAATAAACATGAAAATTGGCAGAGGGTCAGGTGGGAGGAACCTCCATTCTATTTATCCTTCCCTGAGTAATTTCTCAGTTTCCAAGAAACTACTGTCCCATTTAAGTAGTAGAGCTGATCATTATTTAGTCGGACTTGTGGATAAAGTCCTATGTAAATGTGTTGCTCATTTGAATTGAATCAATTGAAAAAATTCAATTCTTTTTTATACTTACTTTTCTGTTGTTTCAAGGAAGGGCCAGACCGCACCTTCCTGATTAAAAAGGGATTTCTTCAGCAAAACTCCACTTCAGACACACTGACAGTTTTATACTGAGAAACAAAACCCTGGATTTTTCATTGGCAAGCAAAAATTAGTTTTCTTTCCTTCCTCTACTGACAACAGGAAATTAACAGAAAAATATTAAATAAGAAAGTAACTGTCCTAGATGTTACCTATACATATGAATTATATATGACATATTAAAAGCAAGACTAAGTTATTGACAAATTGTGAGACTGCTCACTTGACCACCAGTACTATCACTTACAAGTAAATAATTCAACTGAGTACCAAGATCTAGAGATGCCTTTCACTGCTTTAGACCATAACATGATTACCAATGTGTCTTTTGTAAGGCAAACTCCTTTACATTCACACACAGGCTGTTTGATCAAGCTCCATTTCAATCCAACATTTAACATTCAAGTTCAAACCATATAGACAATAGTAAACAAAACCATCATATTATCCTTAAAGTGCAATGCTAACAAACTTTTGAATAAATTACCCTTTGAACCTATATTTTACTAATTTATCGCTACTGAGCTAAGATAGACATTTTTAAAGAGTATATCAGTATTGATAGGTGATACAATGGTTCTCTTGTTTTCAATATTGCCCAAATCATATGTAATTGAGAGACATGAGACATGGATGAAAAAAATCTATTATTCTTAGCCACATATTATGATGGTTATAGAAAACTGTAATAAGAAAATATCAAAACATATTAATAATGCTATAATTTTTATGAAATGTACATCAAAATAGACTTCAAAAGATCTAAAGAAGACTATAAATAAATAACATGAAATAGTTTCCAATTTGTTCAGATGGGATTAGGTTTTTAATTGACAGGATAGTGAGATATAAATAATTCAGGAGGAGGCTAAGTTAGCCATTTAAGAACATTGACAGATTTTTTGATGGCTGCATAATATTCCTTTGTATATATATACACCACATCTTTATCCATTCATCTGTTGATGGACATCTATCCATAGTTTGGCTATTGTGGACATTGCTGCTATAAACATTGGGGTGCACGTACCCCTACGGATCACTACATTTGTATCTTTGGGGTAAATACCCAGTAGTGCAATGGCTGGGTCATACGGTAGCTCTATTTTCAACTTTCTGAGGAACCTCCATACTGTTTTCCAGAGTGGCTGCACCAGCTTGCATTCCCACCAACAGTGCAGGAGAGTTCCCCTTTCTCCACATCCTCGCCAACATCTGTCATTTCCTGACTTGATAATTTTAGGCATTCTGACTGGTGTGAGGTGGTATCTCATTGAGGTTTTGACTTCAATTTCCCTGATGCCGAGCGATGTTGAGCACTTTTTCATGTGTCTGTTGGCCATTTGGATGTCTTCTTTGGAAAAATGTCTGTTCATGTCTTCTGCCCATTTCTTGATTGGATCATTTGTTCTTTGGGTGTTGAGTTTGATAAGTTCTTTATAGATTTTGGATACTAGCCCTTTATCTGATATGTCATTTGCAAACATCTTCTTCCATTCTGTCAGTTGTCTTTTTGTTTTGCTGACTGTTTCCTTTGCTGTGCAAAAGCTTAAAAAAAAAAATTGACAGATTTTTTAATCTCTAAATTTGTATGTGTTTTGTCTGTCTTACCTTTCCCATCTCCTCTTTCAGCTATTTATAGCAAGACATTCAGCCTTAAATAGTCTTGCCTGTCATGAATAAACTATACTCCTAGCAATGCATTACATAACTCTTGCAAGGAAACATATTTATTAAATATTTAAAATATTTATATTCTGTTCTGGCAAGAAGGCTGATTCATGGATGTAAGAGCCAGGGTCAGTTGATAAAGTTGATATTAGCCAACTGGGGCAAGACAGAATACAATGGGGGAAGGCCTTTGTTTAAAAGTAAAAATGGAGGGGTGCCTGGGTGGCTCATTCGGTTAAGTGTCTGCCTTCGGCTCAGGTCATGATCCCAGGGTCCTGGGATTGAGTCCTGCATGGGGAGCCTGCTTCTCCCTCTCCCTCTGCCACCCCACCCCCCGCCATGCTCGTGCACTCTCTCTCGCTCAAATAAATAAATAAAATCTCTAAAAAAAATAAAAGTAAAAATGCATACTAACTTGATATTTTGCTTATAGAAACAGGAAGACAGTGGCAAAAAGAAAAGAAAAATGATCGAGAACTTGGGTTTGGAGCTCACCAAGTGGGATTCCTCACATGACTCTATTTTCCTGCAAGCTGGGTAATCTCTCAAAGAAAAATCTATAAAATCTGCTTAAAAAATGGCTGAACTTACTCCAGATATTAGTATTAAACAAGGTTATACAATTGTAATATGGCTATATTTACCACACCTGAGAAAGTCACCAGGTGATTTAGTTCAAGTGTCTTAAGCAGAGGAATGTGGCTAGGAGCAAGAGTTTTCAATCCCCAATTTTTTACTTACAAATGTCCTTGGGATTTGTAGTAGGCAAATGCAAAGGGTGGGGAGTTGGTAAGGGTAAAATAAACAGGAATAAGACAAGTCATAGGGCAAGGTCAAGCATCTCTCCTGCTGGGCAAAAACAGCAACAGACCCTGCATTATGAAGAAGTGAGGCCCTCATGAGACTGACAGGAGGAAATGCTAAGACTGGTATACCTGTTGGAAGCCCATGGAAGGTGCATGCTCAAGTGCAGCCAGAACAGCTTGCAATGGCTCAGTTCCTATGTGAAGCCAGAAAACCCAACAATGACTCTGCGTTGATTATTTGCAGGTCCTTTTATTGGCTCTTCCCAGATATCAGGCTTCCTTCTTGGGAAACTTTTCTTGGGATCAACTATCAGATATTATTCGTTCTGAAAACCTCCCCTTTATATATTGTTTGTCCTCAAGCCATATATATTGAGAGAGACATATATAAATATATTTTCTATATCATTTTCCATATTTCCATAAGTAACTATGGAAATATTTTCTTCTGCCAAAAACAGAAGACAACTTATCAAAGCTTTTGACCCATCAAATGGCAAGTTTTGTCCTGTGTTTTGTCTGTTCTGCAAACCCACTTCTCCTTTCTCATTTCTAAGCAAAATCTTTTCTCTCTTCTCATATCCTTTAACAAATAGCACTTAGTAGTCCTTAAAATTCAGTCTGAATGAAGGAAAATAAATTCCCTTTTGGCTTAATCTTCAAATCCAACTAGGTACTAAGATGAAGAAATAGTTGCATTCTTCTAATGCAACAGAGAGAGCGAGAGAGAGAGATGAGCATCTATACCCTGCCATATATTCACTGAACTCTCTGAAGTGCCTTCATGCAATAAATATTAATACAATAGATAACATTCTATGTTTGAGAACCCAAACTTTGCTTCCCTGGGCTGTCATCCACAATAGAATACAGCTGTGGTCTTTGCAGTAATTTTCAATGTTAAATTCAGACTGCTGTTGTTCATAAGCAAAAACATGTTTCCTTCTATGTTTGCATATCTTTCATCTCCCTATCTATCCTGTAACCACGGTACCAAAGTGAATCACACTTAAAACAAAGCATTACAATGTGACTGTGAGAGCCAAAGCTGCCCTTGAGTTCTCCACAAAAAAAAAAAAATGGCAGCAGCAGTGATAATTAAGGATTTTTAAACCTCCAAAGGGTGGATGAAACTCACGGACTGCTAGACTCCTTTGAACTTGTGCTTTAATTTAGTACATTTGCCTGTAAGCCAAAACCAAAGAGATACCAGTAAGACAACTTATCAAAGTTCTTACCTCATTGAATGGCAAGTTTTAGAAAAGTCTTTGTGCCTCCTTGACACTAGTCCTCTACATTACTAAAACCATTTGTATGTCTTCCATGGGGAAGACAGGTCAGTTACTTGATCCCTACTTATGATGCTTCTTAGATACCCAAGGCTTCTCTATCTTCTTTGACCTTCAGAGTTCTGTAGCTCTAATGGTCCAATGGCCCTGTGTCCCTGTAGCTTCTGAAACCAATTTACTAGCACGGTCCATTTCTCCCCCAACATTATCTTAGGGAAGTTCTCCTAAACTTAGAGCTCCATCATCTCACAAAGCTGTACAACCCCCCTGTCCCACCTATTGCATTCCCCCTGAATTTCAACATCCACTCAAAAGAGACTAGATTTGAAAAATCCCTGTCTGAACTTAATCTATGAAACTTTTGGCCCACTGAGAGTACCACTTCACCCCCTCTCCTCTGTACAGTGGCCTTCCATTAACTCTTCTCCCTCACTTTGTCCATATTTATTTAAAGCATAAAAGTGAGTTCTGACACAAAGCTGTTACTAAAAAAGAACACATTTATTTTCATTACTCACATCATCTGCTCTTTAGAACTAGGCTCAGATAACTATAATGTTGAATTATGATATATTCAAGTTTTAAAAAATTATCAGCACTCCTCTCCTCTTTCAACAAGAGATTGAGTGGAGAGTTTGGCAATCTGAGACTTATATACAATTAGGGTAGAAACACAGGTGTTGCCAAACACTAGTGCTGCAAAATACCATTTTTTAATAGTATCACCTGCAGCCTTAGAGTGGTATTATTTCCTTGTAAGCAAACAAATTTTTTCAGTTAATCCCATATTGGGTCATACCTCTGTCAATGTATATAATGAAGGTGAGCAGTTTGTTTTTGGCCCCAGGACATGCTGTAGGAAATAAAATGTGCAACCTCCACTGTGCCTTGGGGAAGCATTTAGACACCTGTACATTTTACATAGTCTTTCCTATGTCGCCATAGAGAGTATCATCTTGTCTTCTTCTTTGGTAGCTCTGGGGTAATATACAAAACTGGTTTTGAGTTATGAAATGCCAACTGGAGACCTCTCAAAGTGTTCTCAAATATAATTCACCTTTTTGGAAATAGAGATTATCAGTTCTTCCAAAATATGATTTAATTACACATACTTACATAAAATGTCATCATCCTAGTACACTTGACATTTTTAACACATATCCTAATCCTGTCATCTATATCAATGACAAATGACAGAATAAAAACCTACTTAAAAATTATATCATCTGAGGGCGCCTGGGTGGCTCAGTTGGTTAAGC